AGTAATAAATGAACATGGTATAAAAGAAGATTTTCATTGCGATGACAATGCTTCTCGATCATGAATCAACGGATGGCTGTAGTATCGTTCTAGATCTAGAAAATATCACTACCGATAGTGAAGAAAGTAACAGAGAGGTTACTGAAAACAAAAAAATTTCGATTAACAAGTTAGTCGGAATTCTAGGCACAGCAATTACAGGATTTCAACAATGGAACCTTGTAACAGAGCAAGAAATTATGTCTCTATAGAATTATTAGGATAAAAAATGAAGCAACTTGAAAGAAATGTTTAATAAAGTAAACAAATTTTAAGCTTTTTTTTTTTTCTAAATTTTGATAACCTTTAGATCATAAATGCTTTATTATTTAATAAATCATGATTTCATATTTTTAGTTTTATTGTTTCCACATGCTGTCTTACTAGATTTAAACTGATGATCTAATATCCGGAATTGCGGAAGCCCTGACAAGGCCGGATCCTGGACTTTGTACTGTATTTACAAAAATAGACTAAATGGTGTGAAATGAGTGCCAAACAAAATGACAATATGCAAAATAGTAGCTCTGTAATTGTTTCTTTTGGAAGGATAATAAAGGTACATGTTTGGGAGCAGGACTGCAGGTTTTGCTGTGATAGTAGGATAAGTTTGGAATAATCAATTCATTAAAATGATTCTGAAGCAATATTTGTTGGAAGGACTGCGATGATAAAGATTAGGCTAAAATCAGGTGGTGACACACTCCTGCAGTTTATATATTTTGAAAATACATCTAGAAAGTTCAAAGTGCAAGACTGACCCTGATGGATTAGTATTTGCAGTTTGGTGCTCAAAGAAACATAATCACAGCCCCAACTGAACTGAGGTTTTTCCTTGTTGGAACCACCTGAAGAATGATGTCAGTGTCTATTGTTTGCAGAATGTTTTTATCAAGTTGGTCTGTGTATGAGGCACTTGTGTGCTGCTTCCCCTTGTTAGAAAGTGAACACTTGAGGTGGGCATGTCAATATGTCTACAGAATATCTATCACTGAAGGCTATTCTCTTTATGGATAAGTCTAGAGTTTGCTTCCAAAGCAACAGTAGCTATTTAACTTAAAGAGAACTTGAAACCTGTAATCATTAATAAAACATTCATGAAAGATATTTGTATGGAGGAGCCAGTAGATAAATAACACTCCATATTTTTCTGCATGTGAAATCTAGAGATGGCATCCTTGATACTTCTGTGCACCATTATGCCATTGTAGTAGGTGATATTCTTATCTCACAACATAATAAAAGAAAAGCTGTTTGCACATTTTTTAGATGATTTTGCTTTGCAATAAAACAAATTGTCTGCTTAGAAATTACTTTTTTAACTGCAACTATATTTTTGAAAGTAAAAATTATCATCTGCTGCTTAACAGTTTTGTTTTCATGGAAAATGGCACTTTTAAAGAAGTGATGGATGGAAGGCTATTTTTGAGCTTTTTCTGAAGAAAATTATGCATATCTAGTTATTAAAAACTGCTGTGAAAGCCAATGTTTTTATATCTAAAGCTAAGATAGGATGCATGCATACGAGTTCATAATAGATTGAATGCACAAGTCCGATTAAAGGTTAATAAAACTATTCTTATCACAAGAAATGTAACAAAATATTGGAATTTTCCTCAGAGATATTCGCACAATATCACACAATATAATCAGTAGCTATACTTTAAAATACCAAAACATTAAATAGAACACAATCCACAGTGCAGAGAAAGCTAATCCAAACAAAATTACAGCAGCTAAGTAGACAACTGAGATATTCTTTGTCTGGCTTTCTATAGCTTTAAATCGGTCGTGTGAGATTCTAGTAATTTCTGCTCTTTGAGATTTATAGAAAGCAAAAGAGTAGAATTACGGTTACAGCTAACACAGTAGTCAATTACATTTATTCAATTTTAATAAAAAATTACAAGATATCTATTTAAATGTTAAATGACTGTGCTCTTGTATTTTTGCTTTTCCGGCGTAGCCTTCTCTTAAAATATCTCTCGTGCTGTATTGCAGTGCTCCGCAACCTTTTCTCACCTGCGACACACAAAAAATCTTTCTGGAATTTCGTGGCACACCAAAGAGTACCGAGTTATTAAGGAAGTGCCGAAAAAATTCAAATGCTGACACACTTACAATCACACACACAACAGTGAAATATATAAAAACATTTAAAATAGACATTATTAAGGAAAAAAAATTGTCATTGTGTATTAAATACATGATAAAAAATTGCAAAATGTCAAATACATGTATTTGATTGCGGCACACCTATATCCTACTCATGGCACACCAGTGTGCCACAGCACACCGGTTGTGGAGCACTGCTGTATTGCACAGGGAAATAAAACAATTTTAATTATAATTCTACTAATATTAGCTATCTAAATACAAAATTCATAACATTATGCATATCTTATTATTAAAAACTGCTATGAAAGCCATAGTTTTTCAATATCTAAAGCTAAGATAGGTAATATTGTCAACGAGAAAGGAAAAAATGTTGGAGTTTGGTTCAAGTGGAAAAATTGTTCCAAATAAATATCCAAGGAAGAATCGGAATGTTTTAAATGTTGCAAAGGTAATATCTTTGATTCTAAACAAAATCGGCCAAGGTCAAAAAACAGTTGCGAATTCCTTACCTGCAAATAAGGGAATTGATGCTGATTTGAATCTTAAAAAGGTGATAAAACATAATGTGCATAGTCTTTTTCCACGACACATTGCAGAATGTGCTGCGAAATTCTTTATGAAAAACATTTATCCAGATAAAAATGGAAAAATGTATTTGCAATAGATGAATCTTGGTTGTATTTAAATGACTGCAATAAAAAGAGATGTATTTATTATCATCAAAGGGAGAGGAAAAAATGGTACAAATAATTGAAAGTTTTTTTAAGAGATTTATGATTGTTGTTGGTTTTTCACATAATGGTAAATTAAAATTAAAGAGAGTGTAAAAAAGTGTTAAGATCAACTCTACATATTATCAGGAACATCTTTTATTACTCAATTTTCAAATATGTTTACCCATAATGCCATCAATCAGTAGAATTCCATCAAGCAGTCACACATCAAAGTCCACTGTTAATTTCCTGAAAAAAATGGAACAAGAAATGAGTGTCAAGGCCATGCTTTTTACTCATATCTCTTGATGTATCACCCATGGATTTAGACTCTGAAAAAGTGAATTGTCCAAACCTCCAACCTAAGCTGTTTAAGAGGAATGGGATAAAATACTTCTTCGAATACTATAAAAGGTGAAATGTCTTGGAAATTATGAGAGTTAGCAAATGGAACATTTAAAACACTAAAATTTTACGTAAAATATTTCTGTAAATACAACGAAAATTGTCTAAAAAATGTGTGAACAGCTGTACAAGGCTGATATCATGGAAGATTATTTACAGCTATAAATAATTCAGTGCATGAAGTGGCTAGCACGATTTCCATGCCTGTTGTGGGTTGTTTTAGGAAGGTGTATTGCTGTTCTCAGTTCCCACTTCCATGGTTATAGCTGCTTTGCAAGAGTATTGGCTCCTGCTTACTACCAGTCTCACAGACTGCATAACTTAATGGTTTATATTAATGCACAATCTTTCTTAAAGCACACTGGGTTGTAATGGTGCACAATCCTTCTTTGTGCAGGAATAATAAATTTTCCTGCACAAAACTGACATATTCAATTTGTTAATTTCATAAATATGCTCATTTCTAAATCATAATCGTCTGGTTATTTATATTTTACTATGCACTGTATGCTGTGACTCAGTTTCATGAAAAATAATATATAACTTATTGAGTGATCACTTTTGTGATTTTTGTTTAATTTATGGAAACCACTGTATTAAATATTTCAATATAGCCAAAAAAGATGTGCCCCTTTTGTAACAAGGAAGACATTAAATTCCAATGCATGGGCATTCTTTTGAATTCTTCAGCTCTTTCTATCACTGTTAAATTTCATGACTTCCAGCAGTTGTAATGTCATAGAAATAAAGAAGTCAATGGGATGACTTCACCTAATCCATTTATTTGAAATGTCTCATTTATAAATTTTTGTAGTCATACCTTAATAAAATGGTGGATTGTCTTGTTGCCAAATGATTTAGTATTGTAAATAGGTAATTTTTATGTAAGCATAAAGATATCACAAGATTTACCAATAATTCACACTGCATATTTGTTTTAAAATTGTCTCTGATATATTTGATGTGTGATGTGGGTTTTAGGAGGCCTAAATTTGAATGATTATATCCAGATGAAAGTTCCTTCATCTTTAATGTTTCTTAAGAAGTCATCATTTTCATTAAAATAATTCAGTGCTTTTGAAGTTAACAAAATGTCCAAGCTTTTCATTCATTAAAGACTGAATTTTACAGGCATAAAGGTGAAGTCTTGTGGAGCATGCAGCAAATTATTATAGGTAAATCTTGTTATTTTTCAGTGCATTTCACACTTTTCTGTGAATTAATTATCAAGGACATTTCGAGTTTCCAAAAACTTTTTGGTGCCAAATAAACATATATGGAAATTTCATTGCATCTGTGTAACTTACCAACATTTTGAAACCAACTCATACTGCTGTCTCTAATGAAATAGCCATTTTTGAACTATTACTGCCATGAAAAAATTAGCACAATTGATATGGTAAAAATGTGTGTCTCTGAAGCATGCTGAAATATGCAATAGCCATATTGAATTTTAAAATCATTTAAAAATTGCATTTTTATTAATATTTTATAAAACAATACAAGGGATCATTTGTTATTGATAATAAGTAAATGTCTCTCTGTATTCTCAAACTATGCTTTTGTTATAGTTAGTTAATTTTGAATAAAAGTGTAAATGCTTTTTTTTATTTTATTAATTTTCTATAAAACTTTAAATTTTAATAATGCCAATTATATGTATACTAATACCTCAGTTGTATAAAATATAACAAAAAAGTAGATCACAAATAAAGCAAAACTTCATTGTTAATAAAAAAATAAATATATTTGTTAAATATTTCAATCACTATCAGTCACAGTTACTGTTTGAATACATCTTTTCTTAGATATTATTATTTCTTCATCTGACTCCTCTTCATCACTTGATAGTTTAATACTTTCAGATTTTTTGCAGTTTCCAGTTTCACTTAGATTTGAATTTGCAGCTGTAGTTTTCTTCTTATGTGATATTATTTCATAGTCATCAAAATCAAGTTTTTTATCTGACAAGCAAATTTCTTCAGATTTATTACACTTTACTAATTCTTTTTGTTTACTTGTTGAAGCTTTTGGAGAATCATTTGATGACGATATTTTTAAATTTGGGAACAACCCATTATGAAAATATGATTTTTCTTCATTAATAACACATAATTTAATGGAATCCTTTTCAGGAGATTTTACAGTTTCTGAAAGTTTCAGTTTCTGATTGTCTTTACCAGATGAATGAATTTCTGATTTGGAATTTTTTTTCTTAGTTTCTGATGAGACAGATGATTTTGTAATGGTAACATTTAGTTTCCTTTTTTCAGTTGATTTTGTTGTGTCTGAAGTTAAAGATTTTTCCACTTTATGTGACACATTATTTAAGTGTACTGAAGAAGATAGATTTGAGTCTTTCACATCACTATTACCAAGTGCACTTTTAGCCCTGAGATGAGGCATAGGTAGATAAAGTTCTTCATTACTAGGCAAAGTTCTTGAACCTGGAAATTAAAAAAAAAAAAAAAATATTAAAATACATAAAACTTTCATAAATATTATACTGATTTACTTTAAAATAGAAGTGTGTCATACTATTATTATTAAAGTTGTACTGTGATTAATCAGCATTTTGCCAGTAAAATATACTAGCACCTTTATGGCAAATTTTTGATTTAAATGGAAAAGAAACCCACCAAAGTAAAAACAGACACAAAAGCAACCTTAGTTTCACATAGATTTTGAATAAAACTATCAATTTTGAGGGTGTCTAATCTTTACATCAGGAATTTTAGTTATCAGATAAAATTTCTAATTAAAAGCATTCAGAAGAATAAAAAATATTTTGAATTGCCCAGGACTTCATCACATGAAATATATATGTTGCTGTCAAAGTTTGAAATTCGGCATTGTATAAAATGCCTAAAACTAGCTGGCAATGTATGAAACGATTTATGTTTCACACATTTCCTAGACATTCTATAGAATGCCAAATGAGAAACAGGCAAAGTATGAAATACATACCTGATTCGTATATAAATACAGAGAAGCAACCAGAAAAAGTAATAGGAAGCGTCCAAACAATGTAAAAAGGTGAAACTTATCAGCTCATGCAAGGAAAAAGAGCCTGTTTAAACCAGGATAAGATTATAGTAAACAGTGGATTAAACCAACATGATGAAGACATACTTACCAAAGTGATTTCTGTTTCTGATACCTGTTGTGTGTGTTTAAAGGAAATGAGTGATGCACTTGCATGCAAAAAGTGTTATCATACCTTCTGTGGTCATGTTAGTAAAGATGATGAAATGGATATTTTGTGCAACCTGTTTCAAAACTTAAGATGCTATTGAAGCTAAAATAAATTCTAAAATCAATCTGGAAATGCAAGCCAAAAAACTGAAAATGAAGTCGGAAAATAATTTCCCACTGCTTCTTTGGGAACTACTATGCACTCATGATGTTGACAAAGAGCAAGATGATTCACGCAATACATCTGTAGTTTCAATGAGTGTGACAGAAGATGGTTTCTACTGACTTGGAACTTCTGAATGAATTTTAAAACAAATATATGTGAAATCAAAATTCACTTTACGCCTTAAGAACTTGCTTAGAATTGAAAATATTCTTGACCATGAAATTCCTCTCTGGTCAGTTGCAATTACTCAGTCCAGCTGGAGGAGCCAATGATTCATCAAATGAATGTGTAAAACAAAGTGCCAAAATATGAAATGTCTTTGCATGAAAAATGTAATGAAATGTCATTCAAGCCTACCATCTTACATCAAGTAGGTCAATTTTAGTTTCTTATTTTTTATATGAAAATTTTGTTTCCCTTAATAAGAAAAGCATAAATTTTGTTTTGTACAATTTTCATTGTTCTTTATGTATCTTGAATAACTTTTTTTTAATGGCACTCTCTTTACTTTATCAGAATAACATTTGTATTTTTGTAGAATGCTTGTCATTTATATAACAGCCTTATCAGAACCTTTTTTCATATTTTGCCTAAATAGCATTTGTCAGTCTATAGAATGCCTAGGGAAAAACATTCAGCATTATATTCTATACATGCCTAGACATTGCATTGTATAGAATGCTGGCGTTTCATACTTTGGTGATGCACATAAACAAAAGTGCCCTCTTTTTTTAAATGTACAGTAGGTGGCTGCGTAACATGATCACAATCAATGTTATCATTCAGGTATTGTTATTGAATTGCTGAAGTCTCACCTATTTGTATGTGAAAGCATAGAAATGCATTGCTTCTGATTAACAAGTCGGTTAATGTTATTAAAATATTATAGAATAAATTTTTTAAACTGAACTTAGGTCCTAAACAAGTCTGATAAACATTTGGAATTGTTGATATTTCAAGCAAAGAAATAAAAAACAAATGTATGGAATAATGTAACTCTATTTTAGCAGATAGTGTTTAAATATGCAGTTCTTTTAATGTCATTTTGAACATGCCATGTGTTCAGTCACTTCTTAATATTTCATGCAGGAACAATAATTTTGGGACATATAATCTCATTGCAGTCACATAACAGAAATCAGCTTCATTACTTCCAAACTTAAACAGCAAATAAATAATGTATTCAACTTTTCTAATATAATGATCATTCTTTTAGCAAAAGAATGGGAAAAAAATTCCTTTAAACACCCACACATATATATGTATATATGTTACCATGAAAGACCAAAATTGGAGAATGTCGACTTTTACCGGAGAATGTCAACATTCACCAAATGCTTTGGTGAAAGATCGAATATTGCATTACATTCTTGTATATTCGGACCCTCACCAATGTATGTCGACAATCACAGATATGCTCTGGTGTAGGTCGAAAAGAGAGGAGTATATGTACGTGCTGTCATTGTAAAAGGAAGTGTTCCACAAATAAATGCAGTTGTAAAAGCAAGGACCTCTTGTGCAATTCAAAGTGTCCTAATAGTTTAAGTTGTTGAGGTAAATAAGATTTGAATCACATAATTTAGTAAGTTTTTAACTTCTATTATTTTCCTTTCTCATTTTGAATGTACTGTGTGTTTTAAGTTCTTAAGTTCTCGTTTTAAGTCTCAAGTGCATTTTTTCGAGACTGAATTACGGAGAAGAAAATATAATATTCTTATATGTTCAACATTCACCATTAGCACATGGTGAATGTCGACATTTACCGGTGTAAGACCGGTAATAAGAGTATTTGGAAAATATTTCGGACATGCACCAAGCGGCTATGTGAATGTTGACCGGTGAAAGTCGACATTCTCCAGATTTCGGTGTTTCACCGTAACATATATAAACAAAATAATTTTAAAAATCTTAAAATTTTTTACTTAATTTTTTAGACCAAATTATTAAAATTCAAACCTCGGCTAATTTTCGATATCAAAACTGAAAAATATGAAAATATCTCACATACAGGAGTTGAAAACAACACTAATAATAACTGTAATGTTGAAGCTTTTTAAACACTTTAAAGATTATTCGAAAGACTCAAAGTTAGTTAGTTCTGAAGTACTTTTTAAATCACAGATCATACAGCCCACAGTTTTTTTTTAATTCATAGATACTGGGCAGAAGTCAAGAGATGTTTCATTGGACATGCAAAAAATACAATTGGTTGACATGGCATATATTCAATCCTTGTTGACTAAGATTTGATACATGGCTGTAATTGATTTGAGATAGTTTATCCTATTGACTTAACAAATGTGATGATTTGGGAATGCTGATTGTGTAGACAGACACTGAAGCATAAATAAAAGATAAATAAACTGAAAGTTGAGGCAGATTTCAAATACTCATCATGAATTATTATGAAATAAAAACTATGCTCAATCTACAGCCACATCTGAAAGCTTTTTTTCTCTGTTATGCATCTACAATGCTACCAGCTGTTGCCAAATTAATACAATCAATCATCATTCTATAAAGAATCTCAAGATATTTTTAGAATTTATACAATTATTTAGTTGGCAGGCTACTATAAGCCTATGTCTGTATGTCTACAAATCAATGAAAAGTTACTTACAGAAAAAAGTGCTTTCGAAATAATGATTCAGCATCATGGTCAACATCGTCCATTTTAATTTAAAATGTTGCACGAGAAATTTATTTACTTCAAATTTCCATCAAAAACATTATGTTGATCAATTAGATATCTTCAAGTGAAGTGAAACATCAAATTTATTTTTGGCGTTAATTACTGGGGAGGGCGAGAAGTATAATAATTCAGTATTTGTTTTAAACAATTTTGAATTTATGAGTTTTGTGAGTAATTTAAATGTTGTTTGATAAATTATTTATATTTCATAAATTATTAATGTTGTTTTTATAAGTTTAAATTACTTTGCCATCATAATGTAGAAATCTGCTGAATCTGTAACAAAATTATAAATACTTACATGGTCCAGATTATTGTTGTGAGCTAATGTAAAAATTTTATAACATAATTGTTTATAATGTAATCTGTTCACCTCATTTGTGAAGGGGGCAGAAATTGAACTCCACACTCATCAAAAGATTGACGCTACCTTTCAGGACAACACATTTATTCCTACTCACTAACATATACTATGATACAGAAAAACTAGCAAGATTAAACAGCGCCCTCTTACGGCAGGCAATGGATGGCATAACACACTGGGCCCCCATGACTGTGTCATCAGCTCAGCTAGAAATATAAACTGAAATATAATGCAACACATAAAAATTAAACTGTAAATATAATTATATAACATGGAAAGAAATAATTCAATCAGTCATTTATAGGAAGTCTGACCAGTTTATGTATTGGTCTTTTCATTTCACCCAACGCAGTTTTTAAGTTGACTGACCTTACTCTTTGGTCAGTTCCCTTATAAGTGCAAATTACTTTTGTCATTTTCCACTTAAGTGTCGGCAAGTTCTCATCCTTGATTAGCACCAAGTCATTCACACGTAAATTGGCACTGGGAAGTTTCCACTTGTTGCGCACTTACAACTGAGTTAAGTCTTTTGACCACGATTTCCAAAACGATTGGGAAATATGTGTGACTAATTTCCACCGTTCACAGATGGGAATTTTCTCATTTGTTACATCAGGCTCAGGAACACTTTTTTAACTCGGAACCGATAATAAAGTGACCTTCTGTAATGACAGAAAAATCATGTGGGTCCTCAGAAGCAGCCACTAAAAGACGGGAGTTAAGTATGGCTTCAATCACCACTAGACACGTTGAAAATTCTTCTTGTGAGAGGATCTGTGATCCTATAACACGTCTAATATGAAACTTCATGGATTTAATGGCAGCCTCCCATAGGCCTCCAAAATGAGGGGCTGATGGAACATTCATTGTCCATTTAACGCCTTCGTTGGTCAAGTAAGTACCAAGTGCCTCCATCATACACGCTTTTAAGTAATTCTTTGCACCGATAAAGTTCGTTCCACAATCTCTGAATATTTCAGCAGGCTTTCCTCGTCGTCCTATCAATCGTTTCAGAGCTGCAATGCATGCC